CTTAGTGGGAACCGAACCCGGGTCTCTCTGGACCGCAGGCCAATGCTCTAACCGCTGAGCCAAACTGACCAGGGCTATTTATTTATTTCAATCCTCACCCTAGGACATTTTTGTATTTATCTTCAGATAGAGTGGGAAGGAAGGAGAGAGAGGGAGAGAGAGAGAAACATCAATGTGAGAGAGGCACATCGACTGATTGCCTCCTGCTTGACCCTGACCAGGGCCGGGGATGACCCGCAACTGAGGTATGTGCCCTTGACCAGAACTGAAACGGCGACTCTTTGGTCCATGGTCTGATGCTCAAAATCGCTGAGCCAAACTGGCCAGGGCCCCATATTTTTTTCTTTATTGATTTTGGCTGCCTCCTGCACACCCCCCACTGGGGATCGAGCCCACAACCAGGCATTTGCCCTGACTGGGAATTGAACTGGGACCTCTCATTCCATGGGACAACACTCAGTCCACTGAGCCATACTGGCTGGGCAGGAAATTGCTCCTCTTGACATGTCTGTGTGAAAACTGAACCACTGAGCACTAACCTCAGCCTCCAAACACTCTCTGTGACAGAGAACCAGGGCAGCCACACTCTAGGGGGAACCTACAGTTCATCAGTAACTGGGCCTATCAGCCCCTTGACTTGGGCAAACTCCCACCTCATCCCTTTGGGCCTTGCTCAGAAGTTAAAACTGGTTTCTGTGTAACATGAAGACCTGGAAGTGTCCAGGTCAGAACACCGACTTGTTTCTTCAGAAGCTCAGGAAGTGGAAACTCCGCCTCCAGTGTGAGCTTATAGGAGAATCGAATTATAAGAGGCTTCTAAGATCCCTAATTGTGCTGGAATGCTGTTCACTGAAAAGGAGATTATAGGACATATGGGCTGGTGTGGTGGTGAGGATGGTAGGGGCATGGGCAGCTGCCCGCTGCACGGGCTCTCTGAGTAATTCTGTGGAGCTTGCTCAGTTAAGGCCTGCTGACCTCGAAGTCAAAACTGCTCACTTTTTGCAAGACTTCTGCTGGAGTTGAATGGGAGGTGCCCCGAAGCAGCTGGACAGCACCAGCTGGAGCCAAAGCAGTGACGGTCCTACAGCAGCTTCGCCCACCTGGGCAGGCCCACCCTGCCTGAGGGGTCCTGCTGGCTCCAAGCTAGAAAAAAACCAATTCAGTCACCCACAGGTTATTTTCCAGTAAGAGCTCCATCAGTATATGTCACTTCAAAACACAAGAAAGAAAGAAAGAAACATGGAGTTTCTAATAGAAATACTGTATTCATTTTTAAAGATTGCTATGTTTAAGGCAAATGTCACGCGTACAAAACAGTCAGACATGAACAGTACTTACAATGTGTTATACAAGAGAACAGTGGCGGAGACACCTTCGGACAATGAGAAAGTGGGATTTCCCCCAACGGGTCACTCCTGGTCTGATTCCTCTTGTGGCCTGAGAAACAGGGAGGAAAACAGCACCTTCTCCCTCCACGCGGAAGGGGAGTGATCACCATCAGGAAGAACACTTCTTTAGGCCACGACACTCTCTGTGATACCAGACACCAAACAGGCCTGAGGCTGCTTGTCACTACTTGAACCAAATTAACAGAGACAGGGCTGAGTAATACATGAGCATTTACTCCAATAATGCCGACAATACGGGGGAGCAGCAGGTCATCCTGGAGATTCTGCTCTAACATCCCGTTAGTCGGCTGCATACAGAGACAAGGAAGAAGGGCTATGTGCAAGGGGGAAGGGAGGGGGCAGGATAAGGGCTGTAGGGTATGTGGTTTGTGTGTCTCCTTCCAGGATCTTGAAGTCCAATAACAAAGTAGTTAATTTCCTATGAGATAAATAGCCCTGCCCATTCCCGGGACTGGAGAATGCTCGGCATTCCTGAGGCAAACTTCTAGAGGGGGTCAAGGTCCAGGCACAACAACTGAGTCAGTGTGTCCTAGCCTTGGTCTGATCTCAAAATGTATTTTCTTGCCTGGCCACTGTGGCTCAGTGGTTGAGCGTCGACCCATGCACCAAGAGGTCGCCAGTTCGATTCCTGGTCAGGGCACATGCCCAGGTTGTGGGCCCGATCCCCAGTGTGGGGCATGCAGGAGGTGGCCAATCAATGTTCTCCCTCTTCGATGTTTCTCTCGCTCTCTCTCTCTTTCTCCCTTTCCCTCTCTAAAATCAATAAAGAAAAAAATTTTTTTTTAAATTTTCTTTTGAGGAATGGACCCATCCGGGCTCCAAGGTGTCTTATCTTTTTACAGCCCTGTTTGTCTTCTTGCTGCACCCCCTCCAGTCCCCAGGGTCTGTAAGAAAACCTCGTATCTACAGCTAGTAAGGTGAATAATCATTAAACAACAGTGGTCCTATTTCTATTATGTGCCCTTCCCCTATCATCTGTACTACATTTCCTGGCCCAGCACAGACCATGTGCGGTCACTGGGTCTTACTGTCCAGCTCTAATTTCTATGCTTTGTGAAATCCATCATTACGAGCAGGAAAATCAGGATGCCAAAGCCACACAACTGGCAGTTAGTTCACCTCTCTCCAAACTCAAACTTGCTTGGATTGGGGCTAAAACTATACACGCACACGCGTGCACACACACACACGTATGTGTGCACATGTAGCCGTGTATATGTGGAAGAGGAAAAGATGACATATACTAAAGCCTGAGAAGCAGTGAATGTTCATTTGCGGTTTGGAATCCATGTGACTGTCTCCGCGGAAAGCGGAAGTGCACCAGCCAGCTCAGCCAGCTCTAGACAGTGCGTCAAGGTTTCTAGACACCTCTCGACTCAGCTCCTGGTCACACCGGGCTTCACAGGAGAGGGGAGTGGCTTAGCTGGTTTAAAGATTTGGAGGGCACCCGGCCAGTGTGGCTCAGTGGTTGAGCATCGACCCACGCACCAAGAGGTCGCTGGTTCGATTTCTGGTCAGGGCACACGCCCAGGTTGCGGACCAAATCCCCAGTGGATGTTCTCTCTCACTGATGTTTGTATGTCTCTCTCCCTCTCAAATGAATAAAGAAAAATATTTAAAAAATAACATAAATAAAGATTTGGTGGAGCTGGGTTAGCTCTGTGCCCCACGGCTCTTCCATACCCCACCCCTTCTGCTCAGGCACAGGCCTCTGATTTTATTTTTATTTTTTTTGGTTAATCTTCACCCAAGGATATTCTTCCAATGATTTTCAGGGACAGTGGAAGGAAGGGAGGAAGGGGGTGGTGAGAGAGACACTTCGACTAGTTGCCTCCCACACGACCCCAACCGGGGCAGTAGAGGATCGAACCTGCAACCCAGGTATGTGCCCTTGACCAGGAATCAAACCTGCAGCCCTTCAGTCTGTGGGCTGATGCTCTAATGGCTGAGCCAAACCAGGGCCAGGCCTTTGATTTTAAAATGGGAGAGCCTGACTGTCTCTGTGCCATCCACCCATACTGATCAACGGGACACACATCACAATGGTGTGTTCCCCTTCCACGGGGCCCGAGTGGCAGCAAAACCACAGCAGCAGGGAAAACAGAGAATGCACGAGGGTGAAAGACTGGGAGTTCTCATGGCCTGTTGAGGGGTGGCAGAAACTGCTCGGGTCTGGGAGTCACAGGGAAGTCGGGTACCCGGAAACGCAATGAAAGGCAAGGTGGTTAATTCATGAGCACCTGAAGGACATCAGCAAGAGGCTGCCTTCGATGCTGTCGAGGAGCCACAAAGAGAACGAGCAATAAAAGTGCCTACTGCACACGGGGAACAAAGCCCCGCTCACAACAGCTGCCTTCGCCAGGAGACCGAGGCTCTGTGGAGAGAGGTATCACTTGGGTGAGGAAATAAGAGCGCAGGGGCGTTCGTCAGCCTGGATAGCCAAGGGAAATGGCTGTCTTCAGAGTCCCTCAGTTTGCCCACCAAATCCCTCTGAGGTAGGTAAGAGGCAGGTGACATGGGCCCTGATATACAAATGGGGTAAAGTGAGGCCCAGCACCCGCAGCAAGTCACACGACAGACCCACACCAACAGTCACAGCGCCACGGCAGGCTGGTGCCTTTTAGGTCTTCCCTGTCGCTGACCACACGGGTCTCTATAAAGCCCCTCACCTCAATTCAAACTGAGCCAGCAGGTATCGGAGGAGCATGGACATCTGGCTTATAATTTTAAACTTTGATGTATTGGCAGGAAAGGAAATCAAGTCCATGGAAATCAGCCAAAGCCAAGGAAGGGTCTGGGGACCTGGGAACAGGGGCAGCTCACCCCAGTAAGTGAGTGGGTTTGCATTTTTTAACTTTTATTTATTTTTTATATATTTTTTTTTTGCTAGAATACAGTATTTTAGGGAGGTTCTAGTTGAATTAAAATAGTAGATTGGCTCTGAGCAGTGGTTAGAGCATCAGCCCACGGACAAGAGTCACGGGTTCGATCCCCAGCCCTGGTCAGGGTCATGCGGGAGGCAACCAATTGATGTCTCTCTCTCACACATTGATGTTTCTCTTTCTCTCTCTCCCTCCCACTCCATCTTAAAACCAATGGAAAAATATCCACTGAGGATTAAAAAAAAAGAAAGCAGACTGATGAACCAGAGGGTCCTGAATGTGATAACCACATCACACCTTCCCAGAAGAGGTCCCTCTCTGTCCTGTTGCCAAATCAGAGTGGATGGGGATAAAGCTACAGTGTTGTCAGGGGCCCAGGTCGCGGAAGCTGAAAACTTCCCCAGGGCTGGGATGAGCATGGGGAAAATTGGTGTGTGTGTGTGTGTGTGTGTGTGTGTGTGGTGTCCTGGTTAGGTTGCTTCTCTTCCTCCTGCAGGCTGCATTCCCCCTCCTTTCTTTTTCCTTTTTTTTTTAGAGAAGAAGGAGAGAGAGATAAAAACATCGATATGAGAGAGAAACATCGATAGGGGGTTTCCTACATGTCCCCCACTGGGGATCAAGCCCCAAACCTGGGCATGTGCCCTGACCGGGAATCGAACCAGGACCTCACAGCCCATGGGACAATGCTCAATCCACTGAGCCACACCAACCAGGCTCCCCCTCCTTTCTCTGACCTCAGGATTTAGTTTTCTTAGTGCTGCTGACCAGAGGAGCCAGCAGTGCTAACACCGTCTGGAGTATTTCTAACCTGACAATATGCAGTGCCACCAGCCCCCCAGCAACCCTCGAACCAGAAGCCAGCTGCACCTCGCTGTAGTGCAAACTCCAACACCCCGAGTCCCAGCTCAGCAAATTCCTACCAAGGCTAAGAATTTGGAAATTTTTCCAATTACTACGGCTCACAAGGCAATGTGACAGATGACTGCAAAACCCCTAGGTTTGCCCGGAAAGCACCTGATGCACTGAGACTGGGTGCAATGAAGGGGGCACATCTGCATTTTCCCAAGCTGTGACCACCAGGCTCCCAAAAACCTGTTATGCACGCTTCAGAGTGGGTTTCAAACAGAACCTGGTGTACCTAGACAGGGATCAAGCTGAAGGGCAGAATGTCCTAGTCCTCAGGAGCCAGTTCTGGCTGGGAAGCCCAATGCCTGTGCCGAGAAGTGATCTTCAAACTGGTGATTGGGCCAACGCACTGCCCAGGAGGCCAGAGTTGTGAGGGCAGTGGGCGTGCCCGGTGTCCGGTGGCTGGACTGACGGGGTGGGCACTGCTGCTGGCGGGCGAAGCCGAAGCCTAGCCTCCTCACAGAACCGACTCCTTGGATTCCAGTTCCGGGGCGCTGGCAGCAGGGCCGCCGGCAGCGTTCTGGTGCATCACCAGAGGTGACGTCTCCTCCTCTGACTTGCAGTTGGGGATGGCGTCCACTTTCACCTCGCTCAGTTCTTGCTCCTCTTTCTTTATTGCCTTCTGATTCAGGTGGTGGAGAATGCCGGCACCCAGGGCGTCCCCTTCCACATTCACCACGGTGGTGGTACGGTCCCTGGTGGGAAAAGAAAGGTAGGGCTACCGCCAGTGCCACCTGGAGCTACCTGGGGGGCAGCCCCGTCACAGGAGGCTGAGGCCACGGAGCAGCTGGGGCCCTGAGGGGCCCTGCTGTTTCCTGGAGAGCACGCTATTAAGGGAATAAAGCCTCACTTTAAATTGACTTTGTTTCAATATTTTTTTTTCTTATGAAAGTAGTAGATAAGCACTACAGAAAACTTGGGGGAGGGGGGAGAAGTATAAAGAAGAAAACAAGTCACCCACCCACACTTCACAGCTCAGAGTGAACCAGTGCTACCGTTTTGACTGCTTCCTTCCAGTCGCCTTCTGTCATGTACTTTAGGTAAGCCAGGCACCAGCATCCAAACGGCGATGTGGCTGGGACAGGTGCCAGTGGAGCTAAGGTTTCCTGTCCAGCTTTTCTTTTTCTCATTTCAGGGCCTCATCTTACTGACGGTCCATCTCCAGCTGCAGCCCGCGGCTGCTGGCAACACCCCTCACAGAAAACAGCGCTGTCCTTTCCAGAAGCTTTTCTTCCCACTGATCAGCCCAAAACCCATCCTCCCTCCCTGGAGCTCAGTATTGCAACCAGTTTTCAAGAGATGGAAAGAAATGTGAACTTGCCTGAGGGCACTGCCGCGGGATCAGAGGCCACAGGGAGGTGGAGGCTCCTGCGACTTCAGGTCTCCACTGGGCAGCTCCTCTGGTGCCCTATTTCCCTGTTCCTGGCTGAGCGCTTCCTAGATGCCTGCCTTCCCCATGCAGATGAGCCAGGAGATGGACCTCTGACCCCTGACCTTTGGCTCTGGTCCCGTCTAACTCACCAGCTCAGGGACTGAGTTCCCTCTGATGAGTCTTCCGGACAGTGCTGCGCAGTCCACCCTCATTGCTCTGAGGACCCATAGGGGTCCTGAGAAGCCCCTTCAAGTTTCCAGGGCTTAGGAGAAAAGGGCTGGAAGCCACCATTCCCAACCACAGTGGGCAGAGCCGAGCCCAGCGTCAGGCCCCAGCGTTTAGGTTTTTACATGCCGAGCTCTGACTAGCCTGGTCAGCAGCAGCCAATGCTCACTGAATGTTTTCCCATGTGCCTGGAACTCTTCTTCACGCTGAGCATCTGTGAACGCAGTCTCCACCACAACTCTGGCGTAGGGTCTATTATTATTCCAAGTCACAGGTGAGCAGGCAAAGAACAGAAGTGTCCTGTCACACGACTACTAAATGGCAAAGCTGGGATCTGAACCCAGGTCCCTGGGCTCTAGGGCTCTTTTTTTGTTTGTTTGTTAATCCTCACCCAAGGATATTTTTCCATTGGTTTTTAGAGAGAGTGAAAGGGAGGGAGGGGGAGAGAGAAATATCTGTGTGAGAAAGACACATCAATTGGTTGCCTCCTGCATGACTCTGACCGGGGCCAGGGATCAAACCTGCAACCCGGGTACATGCCCTTGACTGGGAATCAAACCCAAGACCCTTCAGTTCATGGGATGTTGCTCTAACTATTGAGCAACACCAGCCAGGGCTAGGGCTCATTTTTTTTTTCTTTATTGATTTTAGAGAGAGACGAAGGGAGAGGGAGAGAGAGAGAGAAACATCTATGAGAGAGAACATCAATTGGCTGCCTCCTGGGCATGTGTCCTGACCGGGAATCTAACTGGCGACCTCTTGGTGCATGGGGTGACACTCAACCACTGAGCCACACTGGCCAGGCAAGGGCTCATTTTTTTATCCTTATGCTCTACTGTCCAATACTAGTACCTCAGCTAACCTTCCCTATAAAATAGGTACTGTTCATACCTGAAAAAAGTATCATACAACGCAAGGAATCAACACTCAAAAACTATCTTGTGTTTTCACAGCAGCCCTGCCGACGGCAGTCTGAATCACACCTCCTTCCTAACACGCCGTCCCCTGAGCCTAAGCCAAGGCATTCCCATTAGCTGGGTTCATCTCTCTCCTCACAAAAGTCTCTCTTCAGGCACGTCAGGCCAAGCGCCATCATCTCAGAGCCTCACTGCGCCAGTGGCTATGACTCGTCTGCAGCAAACAACTTCCACATATTTCTGTGCCCTCTGGGCCTGCCCTGGAGGCCCGGCCCGGGTCTTGGCCCCTGCTTTCCCGGATGATCTAAGCAAGTTCTTGGTAACGTTTTATGGTCATTTGCGGGCCTCTGACTCTCACGTTGTGTTATTTTTCCTAGCTATAAATTTTGTCTTGGCTGCTCAGCTGTGGGCTCCTTCACAGGCAGGGAGCACGTCTGAAGTTCCTCTACGGGCCTCAGGTCCAGCCGAGTGCCAAGCTCCCAGGGAGCTCAGTGCAGACTTTCTTGTATTCGATGTCCTTAGGACTTGCTACTTACACAATCCAGTCCACAGCCAGGATCAGAGAGAGGTCACGAGTGGGCAGCCCAATGGCCTCCAGGATGATGGCGATGGTGAGGACCCCTCCGGCCGGCACGCCTGCCGCTCCGACACTGGATGCTGTGGCCGTCACTCTAGGGGATGGCAAAGCAGGGTCATCCACTAACACAGAGTGTGGAAGCGACAGATAAATGCAGAACATGGCAGCCATAGCTTGGAAACCGAAAACCACATAACCCTAGATTCTGCCAGGTAAGCCTGTGACAGACAATTCATTCTCTGTGAGTCACGGATTCACACTGTCCTCATTTCATGAGCGAGACACCTGAGTCCTGGTGAGATTGGTATTTATGAGTCTTTTCCAAAGGAAATCACAAGAAATACCTCAAGTTTTGACCCAGGCCTAACGAGTTAGGAAAGAAGAACAGACTCACAGGATCGTGAAGATCTGGCCTGCCTTCAGCTCTATGTTGTTGAGCTGGGCAATGAACACGGTGGCCACACACTGGAAGATGGCCGCCCCGTCCATGTTCACGGTGGCCCCGATGGGGAGGATGAACCTGCTGATCCTCTTGTCTACACCGTTGTTTTCTTCAGTACACTTCATCATGGAGGGAAGGGTTGCTGAGCTGCAGATGGAAAAACAACCAACCATGAGACCAGTCCTTCCAAGGGTAACATGTTACTTGGCTCAGACCCTGGAACAGAAACATTAGCACCATCCTAGTTTCTGACTTTTTCCCTGGAAATAAAAGGAAAACCAGAATTGTTTCAAAGTCTTAGGGTTTTTTCAACTCCCAAAGTATTCAACATTTGACTCCCTACAGTTATCTGTTATGTCATTTACCTACCGACGCCTGTTCCAAACCTCTCAAGAACCATACATTGCCTTATGGTACAAAATGTTCTCAAGAGAACCAAGAACTACTGACTCCATATACGCATCTCTTCTCTTGAATGTTTTCTCCCCCAAAAAGTGCAAGGCAAACTATGATTTTTTTTTTTTCTTTTAGGCCAAGAAGCAGAAATGGCTCTGAGAATTTGGGAACAGTTACTGGGTTAACCAGACGGCCGGATAAACCAGACCTGTTCTCTCCAGTGGCCTCTGCAGGTTGCGCAGAGCAAGGCTGGCGCAGCCGAGAAGCAGGTTTGCTCTAAGCTGGAGAAACTGAGCTCCCTCAGCCTTTCACCGCCGCTACCTGATCACCGAACAGCCCTTCGGATGGGAGGGAAATGCAGTGGAAAGGCGAAGCTAGACGTGCTGAAACAATGTGCTGCCATCCTTCGCAAGTTTTCCTACATGTATTTGGAAAGCCCATTTTGGGGGGGAAAGATGTCCAATAATGACAAGGTACATCTTTTGTGTTAAATTAGATAATCCTGGAGACCTGAACACGCATCCCTCACCATGATGCCTTGGTCTTATCTTCTTTTTAAAAAAAAAATTTTTTCTTTATTACCTTTTAGAGAGAGAGGAAGAGAGGAGGAGAGAGAGAAACATTGATGAGGAAGAACATCAATTGGCCGCCTCCTGCATGTCCCCTGACTGGGAATCAAACCGGTGACCTCTTGGTGCGTGGGATGATGCTCAACCACTGAGCTACACCAGCCGGGCTGGTCTTATTTTCTAGAAACTTCCCTGCAATGCAGTTTGAATTAAGAGGCTGCCTTCTTTTCAAGCAAAGGTTTTACTAATTAGGGTGAGGACACACAGTTCCTATGGGCTAAATAATGATGAGGTTGACCACCAAGGAGCCAGGAGGAGAAGAAATGAGGCACTTCCTCACTCAGGCAATCCTAGAAATCCGTTTCTGTAGGAGCTATGGGGCTGATAATACAAAAAAATAAGATAAGCCCTGGCCGGTTTGGCTCAGCGGTTAGAGCATCGGCCTGTGGTCCCGAGAGACCCGGGTTCGGTTCCCGCTAAGGGCATGTACCTCGGTTGCAGTTTGTCCCCGGCCCTGGTTGGTCGTGCGGGTGGCAGCCACTCGATGTGGCCCTTTCACATCGATGTTTCTCTCTCTCTCTTCCTCTCTCCCCCTCCCACTCTACCAGAACAAAAAATAGAAAAATGTCCTCAGGTGAGGATAAAAAAATAAAATAAAAAATAAGATAAGACCAATTTAGAGTTTTCAAAGAATTAACACATGTTAAGATGCCAGTGGTACATTTACCACTGGGCTCACCTGGTTTCATATTAACATGGCTCAGAGCCATCAAGGGCACCCAAAATCCACTCACCTGGAGCAGGTGGCAAATGCTGTCGCAAATGGTGTCAGGAGACCCAGAAGGAACTTGAATGGGTTTTTTCGTGTGAAAATAAAATAAATAAGTGGCAGAACAATTCCTCCATGAATAATATGGCCCAATATAGATGTAAAGATATATTTCCCAAGGCTGGTCACCAGCACGATGATGTCCTTCATTTCCACAATCTTGCTTCCAACCAGGAACATGATGCCCACAGGTACATACCTAGGGCATGAGCACAGGGTACTTTTCAGGAAGAGAGATGTGATGAAGGGGCTGGGAGATGCAGGCAATTCCTGACACAACACAGGGATGGAAAATGAAAGGGATGGGCCCATTTTACAGGTTGAGAAACTGAGTAAATTTAACATGATACATCACCATGAATGATGATGTATCCATGGATAATGGAGTCAGGACCAGACCCCAGACTTCTCTCCCCTTGGATATATTATGTTCTTAACAGATAGGTGCCACCAAGTGCAAGGGCAAGGAACCGTTCCAGATCACAGCCTCTGGGAATGCAGTCTTTCGGCTTTGCTCAGGCTTGTTCTGAGAACTTAAAAACACAAAAGACTGACGTCTATTTTGCAGAATTGAGACAAAGCTGTGAATTTTGTGAGGTTTTAAATTCTTTGTGATTTGGAAAACATGATTCCCTGGGAAAAAGTCATTAACAATGACCCCCTGGGAACACTCCTGGAGCGTAAAGATTTTTTTAACGGCAGAGTGAGAAGGAGGAAGGGAAGCTACAAAGAACAAAAGTCAGTTGTTTAGAATTTAATGTAAATGGAGAAAGAATTTTACAACCAATGATTTTTTGGGTAAATTTTAATTATGTAGATAATAAGGTCACATCGTTCAAATCGCAAAGGGAACACAGGGTGAGCCGTGTGAAGTCTCCCTTCCACCGCTGTCCCCAAGCACCGGCTCCTTCCCTGGAGCAAGCCAGCACCACTGGTTTCTTGAGTTTTCTTTCCAGAGATATTCTAAGCAGTATTATTAATTTTAAATTCCATAGTAACACATGAATGTATTCTCCTTTCCAAAAATGGAAACATTACAGACTGGGCCGAAATCCTCTTTAGCCACCACCCTGAAGCCAGACCCCTCCTCAGATAACCGCTCCTACTTCCTACGTATTTAGATACACAGGCATGTATTTAAATCTGTATGTCTGTTTTTAACCCCACATTATATCTTTTGAGATCTTTTCATACAAATACATAGACATCTACATCAGTATTTTTTTTATTGTGGTAGAATATGTATAACATAAAATTTACCATTTTGATCGTTTTAAGTGTACAATTTAGTGGCATTAAGTGCATTCTTATTGCTGTGCTACCATCTATCTCCAGAACTTTTTCATCATCCCAAACTGAAACTTTGTACTCATTAAACAATAACCTCCTCCCCCTGTCCTGGTAACCACTGTTCTACTTTCTGTCTCTATGAATTTGACCGTTGTAGGAACTTCTTATAAATGGAATGGTACAGTATTTATGCTTTTGCGTCTGGCTTATTTCACTTAGCATGTCTTTAAGTTTCATCCATGTTGTAGCATGTGCCAATCTCAGTCCTTCTTATAGCTGAATAATATTCCATTGTATGTCTATATCTCATTTTGTTTATCCATTCATCAGTGGACATTTGGCTGTTTCTCCCTTTACCTCATTATTTTACAATATCATCCTCAGAACCCAGACACTATAGATTAGTTTGCTGTTGCCCTGTTAATGGACAATTAAATTGCTCCCAGATTTTCATCATGAAAAACAATGCAGCGGACAGGCCTCTTTGTGCCCTACGGGCCTGGGTGCTCTAGGCAGAGACACCAAAAGGTAGAAGTGCTGAGTTATGAGGTGTGCATATTTTAAATTTTAGCAGATCCCAACAGATGGTTATCTAAAGTGGCTGTTCCAATTCCTATTCCCACTAGCTCTCCAGGAGAATAATCCTTTCCCTGCATGACTGGTTCCCATCAGGGCACAATTTTGCCCTCAGGGGATGTGTGGCAATGTCTGGAGACAATTTTGGTTGTCACAACTTTGGGGAGGGAGTGCTGCTGGCATCTGGTGAACTGGAGGCCAGAAATACTGCTAATATTCTACAGTGCACAAGACAGCCCTCCCCCACAACAAAGAATGATCCAGCCCAAAAGGTCAATAGTGCTGCTGTTGAGAAACTCTATCCTCATCCTTATCAATGTTTGATAAAACCAAACTGTTCATGCCCCTGATTTCTAATGTTTATTGGTCATTCAGGTTTCCTCTTCTATTTAAAAAATATATATTTGTATTGGTTTTTAGAGAAAGAGGAAGGGAGAGAGACAGAGAGATAGAATCATCAATCAACTGCCTCCTGCACCCTCAACCCAGGCATGTGTCCTGACCAGGAATTGAACCAGTGACCTCTTGGTGCATGGGACAGCACTCAACTAACTGAGCCACACCAGCTGGGAAGATTTCCTCTTCTATAAATTGCCTGCTCACATATTTTTTCTATTTGCTAACAGTTCATTCAGTCTGTTCTTTGTCAGTAATCAGAACTCTGTATCAGTGTTTCTCAAAGCTATCTTTAGTGAAAGACTGGTTAATTTCTATCCGGTCATGGACCAATATTCTTATATAAGACAATAAAAATAAAATATTAGAAAAATGACCCTGACCAGTTTGACTCAGTGGTTAGAGCGTTTGCCTGCGGACCAGAGAGTCCCGGGTTCGGTTTCCGCTAAGGGCATGTACCTCGGTGGTGGTTTGTCCCTGGCCCTGGATGGGGTTGTGCGGGTGGCAGCCAGTCGATGTGTCTCTCTCACAGTGATATTTCTCTCTCTTTACCCCTCTCTCCCTCCTGCTCTGTCTGAAGATAAATGCAAAAGAAAAATGGTCATGTGCTTGGGTGTTGCAGCAATATAAAATTGCTATAGAAGTTCTAAATTGAGAATACTTTAAATTTTAGCAGATCCTAACAAATGGTTATCCAAAGTGGCTGTTCCAATTCCCATTCCCACTAGCTCTCCAGGAAAATAATCCTTATTCTCAAGTTCCCTATAAATCTCACTGCAGATAGAAAAACAGTTTGTGAACTGGTACTAGTCCTTTGGATACTAATGCTTTGAGATTTTGTCTTTGAGTATATATACTATAGTATATGCAAATACTTATCAACTTTTCCCAAGTGTCTTGTCTTTTAACTATGTTCAAGGTATCTTTTGCATGCAAATATTTTATATTTTGATGTAGTCAAATTTAGCAGTGTTCTATGCCTTTCACATTTTGCATTTTGTTTAGGAAGACTTTCCCTACCCCTATATTTTCTTCTAATTCTTTTAGAGGATTCCTTTCTTCTTTCTCCTCCCTCCCTGGAGAATTTATTTTATTTATTTATTTATTTATTTATTTATTTATTTATTTATTTTTATCCTCACCCGAGGACACTTTTTCATTCTTTGTTCAGATAGAGCAGGAGGGAGAGAGAGAAACATCGATGTGAAAGGGACACATCGAGTGGCTGCCACCCGCACGACCAACCAGGGCCGGGGACAAACTGCAACCGAAGTACATGCCCTTAGCGGGAACCAAACCCGGGTCTCTCCGGACCGCAGGCCGTCACTCTAACCGCTGAGCCAAACCGGCCAGGGCCTCCCTGGAGAGTTTAATGTATGGATTGGCACTATGAGTTTTTTTAATATATTTTTTTTTATTGATTTTTTTTTTTTTTTTTATCCTCACCCGAGGACATTTTTCCATTTTTTGTTCAGATAGAGCGGGAGGGAGAGAGAGGAAGAGAGAGAGAGAGAGAAACATCGATGTGAAGGGACACATCGAGTGGCTGCCACCCGCACGACCAACCAGGGCCAGGGACAAACTGCAACCGAGGTACATGCCCTTAGCGGGAACTGAACCCAGGTCTCTCTGTACCGCAGGCCGACGCTCTAACCGCTGAGCCAAACCGGCCAGGGCTTTTATTGATTTTTTTAGAGAGAGAGGAAGGAACAGAGAAGGGAGAGAGAAGGGAGAGAGAGACAGAAACATCATTGTGAAAGAGAAACATCGATCAGCCGCCTCCTGCACACCCCCCACTGGGGATCGAGCTGGAAACCCAGGCATGTGCCCTGACCGGGAATTGAACTGGGACCTCTCAGTCCGTGAAACAAGGCTCAATCCACTGAGCCACACCAACTGGGCGGCACTATGACTTTCATTAGAACATAGTCACTCTTACTCAATTACAAGTTGTCTGTGGTTGCTTCTGTGCAATAGTGGCAGAATTGGGTAGTTGAGAGAGAGACCATACGGCCTGCAGAGTTTGCTGATCCTGTATTTAATCCCGAGGAGTTGTTTCTGTGAATGTGCTGGTGAGGCAAGTGCTTTGACATTGGAGTAGATAATTAGTGAAGGAAAGAAAGCTGGAAGAGCTACTGCTGAAGATCCCTCCCATACCTGGTTGAGATCCTTTGACTAGTTAAGGCATTTTAAACCCTAATTCTGTGTGAGATGCATTTTCCGGGCAATAGATCCCCCACTGCAGTTAGACACTCAGCAGGGGCTGCCTTACCAAATACCTGCTTATGTAACTAGTGCATCAACTTGAAGGAATGATTGTAAATTGGTTTCCAAAGTGAAAACAAATGTCTTCACACAGGAACATCACTTTCTTGCACAGTTTCTTTTAATCTTTTAGGATTATAGACTAAAAACAAAGGAGGCCAGGAAAAGAACCTGATGTGTGATGAAAACACCATTTCCTTTCTGTAACTATTTCTCTCCCCAGAACAACAGTCATATGAATGAGGTTTCGTGTTTGCAATGAGAGTCAGACTCTGGAATGTTGGCTGAGCAAGAAAATTTCATTGAGCAAAATAAACACCACTAGTCAGGGCTTTGGACTTGGCTTCCCACTCCATTCCAAACTTTCCTACCAAATTCCAGGCTTCTCTCCTAAAATCAGTCCCGGTGAACCTCGACAGCAAGAAGTTCTGGGATATTTAAGGGTTGACCATTAGGAGAACGCTGTGTGCATAAAAGGATAAGCTGCTTTCTTGACAATGAATGGGAGTCTGGCTGGAGTACAGAGCAGGGTGAAGCCAGGGAGGGGGTGCCGCTGGAATTGGTATGATTTCTGAGAAGTTACTTTGAGGGATCAGGTCAAAGTTTTACCTTTTAGCCCAAAATCAATCTAATAATTTTTCATTAAACAATCACACTGTCATTGATTCTACATACAGAAACATTTAGGTGAAAAACAAAACAAAAACAGACCATTACCAGTGATATGCACAGGGTGAAGGAAAATCTGTCCTCCATGGTGTGAAATACAATAGTAAGGGGACCCTTCAAAGATCATTTTAAGATAAATAAGCCTTATTTTACACAGCAGATAGCAAACTTATGAAAGTCATTGCTCCATAAGATGATATGGGCATTGCATATAATATGGGATGACGGTGGGAACCTATGCATAGACCGCTGATGATAGGACCATAAGGGGTGACTGTGGGTGCTGAGGAAGTAACTGGTAACGATGGTACAACCTGGTTCTCCGAGGTCCTGGACAAGAGGAGAAACTGCCTCCACCTCCGTCACACCCTGTACTAGGACTCACTGGTGGTACATCAACCATATACAGAGCCCTGGGCCAGGTGGGGACCCACCAGTGACTGAGAACAGCAGAGTCGGGTTCTTTTCTGGATGGCAGGAGAAATAAGAGGGAGAGTAGGTGGTGGGGGGCAGGGACAATACTCACCACATAATCCACGACACCAGCACCATCGTCGCCTCGTTGAAGGCATTGAAGAAACGGATGAGCTCTTCTCCTTCAGAGCCTAGCTTCCTTAGGGCCACTCCTAACACCAGGGCAAAAAGGACCAATCCTAAAATGTTCATCCCTTCGACCTCGGTGCCAACGGGGATCTGCAGGATCAGAGTGGACACAGGGTCCAAGTTCACAACATATGATTGAGAACTGAGGATGCTTTTGCTTCATTTCTCCACCAGATTGAAACACTATGCTCAGATGAGAAAAGGTTCATATTTTCTTTAACCTTCAGCGATTTCACAAATCAAGGGGTAGAAAAGTCAAGGGAGATGGCGTCTAAGGATACAGAAAGTCAACAAAAATTTTACCTAGTTGTTAACTCTAAAAGCTGTCCAAAACTGGCATAGGTTAAAGCAGAAAGCAGTGAGCTCCCTGTTACTGGATATAGTCAGGGAGAGGTTAGACAGTCACTTCAAAGGGTTGATTTTAAAAGAAGAGCTGGTTGCTGAAAAGTTCCTTCAGATTAAAAGTCAACGATTGTAACTTCAGTTCCTCAATGTCAACAATTCTTTGTTGCTAGGCTGCTATGATGGCTTCCCAGCTGACAAATTTCCCCAAAAGATTTTTCAGGATTGACATGGATACTTTCAGGATATTCGTTCCTAAATCATGGACTTTAAATGTATAGATAAAATGTATTCTTTATTTTTTCTAGCAATGCTGAATCTTACCACTGCAAAGCATATATTAGACAGGTATTTTATTCTATCAAAACACATGAAATTCTGAACAGTAAACATGTCAGCCTGGTAAAAACGCAGACAGCATTTTTACCAGAGTCCCTCCCGGTCTGAGTTCTAGTCCCTGCTCTGATACTAGATAACTTCTCTGAGCTTCAGGTTCTTCATCTGCAAGATGAAATGAATTGGACTAATTTCTTTTGCAATGAGTTTTCAACTTTTTTAAAAAAATGGAATTTTCCCTTCAGTCAAAGAAAAGCTGGTAGCATTTGGAGCCCCTAGACCCTGGGTGGGGGTGGGAGGAGATATGTGTGGGTGGGAAAAGGGCAAGGTACCCCCTTCTTCCCACGACAGTTCTGTGTCTGAACTGAATAATCCTTGAGGTCCCTTGCCCCTTCCTGCTCATGACCTAGCCCAGTGTCTGGCAAACAACAGGTACTGAAAACATATGTGTGGATTAATAATGGCTAGAATAAATTAAGCCCCTAAGAGAAGTCTTATGTGTAGGGGTAGGTTAAACCACCTATTAATTATATTTCAGAATAGCAAAAGGGTTATAAAATATTTCTGAAGAAAGGGGATGTTAGTTACAATTGGGTGAAATAGATCCACTAAAGATTTCAAAGCTACAGACACTGGCCTTTGGCCATGTTGGGAAATAACCAAGGAAGCAAACCCAACCCGTGTGGGTCGAACAGTCCACCCAAACCCCAAAGCTTTCAGCCCTGTTGAGAAAAAGATGCATCGTATGTATGCTCCTTCAATTAAGAAGTATGCGTCGCAAGTTACCTTACAAAGAGCTTTACCTTTTCAAGGGTTATGTTTCCAGTGCTCGTGTTGTGGGTCACCTCTGTGTAATTAGTTGCATACTGTTGAGTAAGAGAAAGAAAAATCCACTGTCAGTTTACAGGGGAAGATGGGACAAGAGAGCTGGGCCTCTTGCTCATCTGTCATTATTCACTTCAAGTGTCGGGGCATTGCTCAATTGGTTGGCCTGACAACGGACTCCGAGAACTGTACAAAAGAAGTCCTTTCAGATCAAGGCAGCATGTACTCCAAGAGGCCTCTGGGTAGGGACCAAGGACACAGGGAGAATTTTCTTATGTCCCTTTGTAGGTTGTAGGTCTGCCCAACTTCATGCTGATAGTTTGATATTTCTTTTTTTTTTTTTTTTCCATTTATCTTCAGATAGAGCAGGGGGTAGAGAGGAGGAAAGAGAGAGAGAAACATTGATGTGAGAGACACACATCAACTGGTTGCCACCCACATCACCCCAACTGGGGCCGGGGACAAACTGCAACCGAGGTACGTGCCGGGAACCGAACCCGGGTCTCTCTGGTCCGCAGGCCCTCCCTGAGCCAAACCGGCCAGGGCATGATAGTTTGATATTTCAAACAGCTGATAGTTCATAAGATGTAGAGAACCTTGGTCTTAATTCCATAGTGCCTAAGTTCACTTTTCAATGTGTCAATTTATTTTTATTCATTTATGTATGCTCCACTTTGTTCCAGAACTTGTTTGAGTGTGATTACTTTTCAGAATCTGTTTCTAATTGGCCTGAGCCTCTACTCTCCAAAGAAAAGGGAATCAGGCAGGATGGAGTTTCCTGGCAGAGTCTTCTGGGAGACCCACTTCTTAGAAGTGAAACCTCTCTCCAGCTTTGGCCCAGCAGTGGACTTCACACATCGCTGCACAGTGCACACAGGTGTCCCCTGTGGCAGCTGCACTGTCGGCTAGAATCTGTTATGAAACACCCTTCCTGACCTGGTTTCTGAACTGTTGAGAGCACCCCATTAGGAGGTACAGACCTGGAGGCCTTCTTTACCAGCCTTAGAGCAGCTCTGGTCTCTCTCAGCTTTGATTTATCAAACTTTCAGACAGGCAGACGTGTTTAGTGGTCCTGTGATCTAGGGTGGCAGAAAAAACAAAACCCACCCCATATGTAATAGGCACTGAAACCTCATATACCTTTTCTTTTTCTCCTACCTCATGTTATATATAGAAGTCACAGCTGTGCTTATATGCAGATTTGTGGGTTTTTTAAAATTTATTATTATTATTTTTTAATCCCAAAGATATTTTTCCATTGATTTTCAGATAGAATGGGAGGAAGGAGGGAGAGAGAAGGAGAGGGAGGGAGAGGGAGAGAGGGGGTGAGAGAGAGAGAGAGAGAGAGAGAGAGAGAAACATCAACATGAGAGAGACACATTGATTGGTTGCCTCCTGCATGACCCTGACCAGGGCTGGGGATCAAACCAAAACCGAGCTTTGTGCCCTTGACCAGAATTAAACCCGAGACTCTTTGGTCCGTGGGCTGACACTCTAACTGCTAAGCCAAATCAGCCAGGGCTGGGTTTTTTTGTTTTTTTTTTTAAAGAGAAAGGCTCTAAGTAGAAACAGAAAAGTCTTTGCTTAAAAGGGCAATCAGATAAGTCCATCTAATCTAGACCTTGATATTTCTTCTCTGTGTAAAGCATGGCCACAGGGATATGACTTGCAGTATTACTAAAATCAGGATAAAACCAGAAACAACCTGAATATCCATCAATAAGAGGCCAATGGAGTAAAACTATGGTACACTCATACAGTGGAATACAGCCAATAACATCCTAGGGTGGCAGAAAAAACAAAACCCACCCCATATGTGATAGGTACTGAAACCTAATATATCTTTTCTTTTTCTCCTACCTCATGTTATATATAGAAGTCACAGCTGTGCTTATATGCAGATTTGTGGGTTTTTAAAAAATTTATTATTATTATTTTTTAATCCTCACCCAAAGATATTTTTCCATTGATTTTCAGATAGAATGGGAGGAAGGAGGGAGAGAGAAGGAGAGGGAGAGAGAGGGAGGGAGGGAGATATTTACTGACATGAGAAAAATCTTCACAATGTACTGCTTTAAGAAAGAGTTTAGAGCTCTGAGAGCCCTGGCCAGGTAGCTCAGTTGGTTAGAGCATCGTTCTGATATACCAAGGTTGTGGGTTCGATCCCTGGTCAGGGCACACACAAGAATCAACCACTGAAGGCATAAATAAGTGGAACAACAAATCAATGTTTCTCTTTTTCTCTCTCTTCCTGTGAAAAAAATAAATTAAAAGAAAAATCTTAGAAATAAAATAAAATTATAATAAAAAAAAAAGTTTACAAACAATGTGTGGTATGGTTATTTTTAAAACATGTGGGCATGCACAGAAAAAACAGATCTGTAGGGTGTATACCAAAATGTTCAGGGGAAGCTCTAGGTGGTGAATTTGGGTGACTTTTATTTTATTTTCTTCCACGTTTTTGTACTTGATTTTTAATATATTTTTTGCAATGAGCATATATTACCTTTATAAAAAAAAACAAAGATAAAATTATACTTTAAAAAATTCTTCAATATTTAAAAGAGCCCCAAAATATGATTTGAGGGTGATGTGAAAAGATGTCAGAACCAGTGGAATCTTTGAGAAAAATGTTGATTTGTTTTGTTTTGTTTTGTTTTGTTTTATTCCAGGGGCCTACCTATAAAACTTAGCCTGATGTTACCAAGTTTTGTCAACAACACTCTCTCTCCCTGTTCCACCTCACTTAATTCTATAGCAGTAATTTATACATCCCCTACCCCACCAAAGATGCATATTTTTAGCAAAGTATCGAGTCTTACCGTTTGAAAAGCTGCAACCACAAGATTTGAGGGAAACAGGTTTCTGTTGGAAAAGGAAGCATTTCATCAATATTTTTAAAATTCAGCATTCAAAGGATCCGTTTTCAGACGCCCGCTCCTGACTCCTCACGTGTAGTATGCTCCTCTCTCCACTTCCAGCGATTATTGTGACCTTCTGCTTGTCCAAACACCCACCTATGCCTCGGCTGCCTGGCCACAGGAGATACGCGAGTACACCTGTTTTTATCTCCTCTCCCTCCGGTACCCCTTGATATTCAGGCTTAACTGCATTCAACCAACCAGAGTAGCTGCTTCACCTTCCTTTCCCCGAGGTTAAGCCTTTTGCAGTGGTTTTCAATAGGGAGCGGTGCTGCCCCTTTTAAATCCATGGGAGTGTTTTTGTTGTGGCAATAACTGGAGGGCATTCCTGGAATTGGGGGAGTGTGTGTAGGGGAAAACGCCAGGTCCCAGCCATTCATTCTGCGAAGTGTGGTCAAGTCCTGTACAATAAATGGTCTCAAGGCCCTCATGCTTTCCAATATCCTATATGATATACCTGTAGATGAAACCTTATAATTACCTGAGCCTAAACTAACCCCCAAACAAGGCAGTTTTTGCATAATTTGAACATATACTGAATTTTCTAGGAATGCAACTATTGTGCAAAATGTGAGATAATTATTCTCTTGTTTTGTTCAGAATGTTTCCAAGAATTGTTCATCTTTCTGGAAAAATCACATCACCCATGGCAAATGGTAAGATCTGAGTCCTTAACCCACACATGATATCACGTATCAGTCTGTATTTATAGCTGTGTCATTAATAGTGAATCTGAATTCAGAAGCAGGCACCTAACCACTTCACTTTTAGAGCATTTCAGATTAAAACACATTATTTTATTATAAATTACTCTTTTGACTTTTATATTATAGTTAAGTCATATTAATGTTTGAATTATGTGTGTAGGTAAAGTGTTTATAAATTTCATCTCAAGATGAAGGATATAAAATATTTGTTACAAAAGCAGGGCAATGCAGCTGATCAAGTTAAGCTGTATTTTGAAACCAAAGTCTATTCATGCAAACAGTTTTTACTGAGGGCCTCCTTTGAGTCAGGCTCTGTGCAAGATTCTGGTCTTGATATGTGAGAAAATCCTACGGACAGTGTATTTGTTCTATCCATTTCCTATTAGAATAAGCCTAGAAGAGTCAACAATTCTGGACTATCCTTTACAATTTGTGCCAAATTTATGCACTAATTCTTACTTCTGTGGTTGAGTTGTTTACCTAACACTAGAATCTCCAGGCAACTATTTGCTGTACATTTGGTTTCAGAGGGAGGCAGGTCTGACCGCAGCCCACCCCCACAAGCAGAGTGTGAGATGACCTCCTGGAAGCCACACCTTTGTGTAATATCTTCCCCATGAGTGTGGCTGGGGCCTATGACTTGCTTTTAGCCAAAAGAATAGAGCAAAGGTAATGGGATGGCACTTTTGTGATTTGGTTATATTACATTGTGACTTCCATCTTGCCAGAATACTCTCTTTACTGCCTTCTGGGCTTGCATGTTTGATGAAACGAGCTGCCATGCTGGACAGGCTCATATGGCAAGAAACTGAGGGTGACCTCTGGCCAACAGCCAACTAGGAACTGAGGTTCCCAGTCTAAACTTCAAGCCCAAATTCTGCCCACAACCACATGACCTCAGAAGCGAATCCTTCCCTAGGGGAGCCTTTGGAGGAGACCCTGGCTGTAGCCAACACGAGGACTCAGCTCTGTGAGAGGCTAATGCAGAAGTCTCAGCTAAGCGGTGGCAGGATTCCTACCCTACAGATACTGTGAGATAATGAATGTGCATGATTTTAAGTTGCTGAATTGTTGGTAACTTATTAAATTTGTACATTAGATAACTCATGTACTAGCCAACAGGGTTAATGAGATAAAAAACTTTATTACAGCCCTGGCTGGTTTGGCTCAGCGGTTAGAGCATCGGCCTGCGGTCCAGAGAGACCTGGGTTTGGCTCCTGCTAAGGGCATGTACCTCAGTTGCAGTTTGTCCCCGGCCCTGTTTGGGTCGTGCGGCTGGCAACCACTTGATGTGTCCCTTTTATGTCGATGTTTCTCTCTCTCTCCCTCTCTCTCTCTCTCCCCCCCCCTCCCTCCCACTCTATCTGAACAAAATATGGAAAATGTCCTCGAGTGAGGACAAAAAAAACCCCACTTTATTACATTCAGGGTGCTTCCATAAGACAGTCAGCTTGTAGAGACTGCAATACAGCATTTTCCAAACCTACTTGTCTGTGAAATCAGAATTGCTTTTAACATATTTAGAGAATACCAGCTCATATGTGCCTGCATTTACGCAGACAAAATGTGATCTTCAGTTGAATTAACTGTTACAAAATGGTGATCAGAAATTTGAGTCCCATCACAAGCATATTTACTTAAAAAAAAAAGGTAGAAAAAGACTGCAATGTGTATTGACTATTCCTCAGTGTATATGTAAATAGCAACTTATATTTGCCTATTCTTTCAATTACAAAGCACCTTTGTGACATATTTCCCAATTGTGGGGTAGGTTTGGTATCTCATCTCCATCTGCTATAATAATTAGAAGCAGAAATAGGTCTGAGCCAAGGTTTCCCTATTCTACATGTACCACACAACTCAATAGTTCCAGGACTGAGCTGGCCACTAGGTTCTCTCCCTAAAAGGGGGGGGGGGGGAGTTAAGGAATGAGCTGGGCTAGAGGCCTTTCGTCAGTCTCTATGGGAAACGACTTCCCCTGGACGTAGCTTGCATCCTCAGGGATTAGCAGTTTTCTCAGTTGCTGCAAGCACAGCTTTTCCCACAGCCTCGCAACACACTGTCTTCCAAAGAGCACACACTGTTTGTTTAAACCCCGCTCGCTGGCCTGCCTGGTCTCTTCAGCATGAGCAATAACTCAATCCTGTCTCCCCCACATGGACCCTGACCCTAACCCAGAACTTCTAGACCACACAGCCATTGACAAACCAACCTGTTTTCAGACAGTCTACAGTATCTAGTCTACAAAAATTCTGTGGGAACTGAGAGGTCCCAACAATACTAGAGGCAAACCAACAACTCCTGCCAAAAATATTCAACTTCTTAAGAAAAAAATGGTGTGTTCTGGCAGTTTCATATAAAGTTCAACATGCACTTATCATATGACCCAGCAATTCCATTCCTGGATATTTACCCAAGAGAAATGAAAATGTATGTCTGCAAATAAGGCCTGTACAGTTAACAGTTTTATTCATAATAGCCCAAAACTCAAATGTCCCTCAACAGATGATTGGACAGACTATGATAAATTCACACAATGAAATCCTACCTGGCAATAAAAAGAAATCAACTACTTGATACATGTATCCTGGATAATCTCAACAACATTGTGCTGAGCAAAAGAAGCCAAAGAAAAGTACATGCTGAGTGATTCCATTAACATGAGACTCTAGTAAAAGCAAAACTAATCTATAGCGATAGAAGGCAAAACTTTCTATCCATAACTTCCTGGGACCAGGGGTGGAGAGTGGGGATTGCTGAGAAGGGTCATGGGTGATAGAAATGTTCAGTGTCTGGATTGTGGTGATGGTTAAATGAGTTCTTTATTTGTCAACACTCACTGAACTGTACACTAAAAATGGGTGCATTTCATTATATGTAAACCATGTCAAAATGCCTTAAAAGTTAAAAAAAAAAAAAAAAAATACAGTGCTGACTGGCCAGTGTGGTTCAGTGACTAAGTATCGACTGATGCACCAAGAGGTTGTGGGCCAAATCCCATTAAGGGGCATGCAGGAGGTGGCCAATCGATGTTCTCTCTCATTGATATTTCTATCTCTTTCTCCCTAAAATCAATAAAGGGAAAAAAAAAAACACGGCGCCAACTGCAAAGGAGATTTTCCAACCAAAATAATAATAATAATAATAATAATAATGAAGTACATTCAGTGGGATGACTGAACTTTCTTTAGGTAATATAGCTTAGCTCTCAGATATTAATTCCTGGGAAGGGATTGCCAGGGGACAGTGAACTGAAGCTCATGCACCCACAAAATCATATTCCTTTCCCTTGGTCCCTCTGGTTGTCACAGACCAGGAATAGAAGCAGTCCCCTCCTGCCCATACAAGGGACAAGGAGCTGAGGCTGTGGGAGTAAAGCAAAACATCTGACAAATTGTGTCTTAGGTATGGTACCTAAAAAGTCGTCATACCCAAAGTCAGCTAGGTTTTCTCCAAAGCTATCTTCTAGTAGTTTTATAGTTTTGCATTTTACATTTAGGTCTGTGATCCATTCTGAGTTAATTTTTATGAAGAATGCTAGGTCTGTGTCCAGATTCATTTTTTTGCTGTTCCGGCCCCATTTGTTGAAAAGATTATCTTTGTGCCATTGTATCGCCTCGACTCCTTCGTCAAAGATCAGTTGACTATATTTATGAGAGTGTTTTTCTGCCTCTCTATTCTGTTCCATTGATCTATTTGCCTCTTCTTTCACCAATATCACACTGTCTTGATTACGGTAGCTTTACCATAAGTCTTGTACTCAGGTAGCATCAGTCCTACAACTTTGTTCTATCTGTATTCTTCTTACCCCTCTCTGCTTTTCAACACATACACTGCTGTGAGCTCTGGATTTTTTTCTTTTTTTTTTATCCTCACCTGAGGACATTTTTGCATTTATCTTCAGATAGAGTGGGAGGGAGAGAGGGAGGAAGAGAGAAAGAGAAACATCGATGTGAGAGAGACACATCGAGTAGTTGCCACCCACACAACCCCAACGAGGGCCGGGGACAAACTGCAACCAAGGTACGTGCCCTTAGTGGGAACCCAACCCGGAACTCTCTGGTCCGCAGGCCAATGCTCTAACCGCTGAGCCAAACTGGCCAGGGCAAGCACTGGATTTTTCTTCCTCCTGCGCTGTCCTGTATCCAGGATCAGCTGCTCATCATGCAAGCAATTTTGCTCCCCAGAGCTCTGTCTTCAGGCATTTTTCCCCAACTCCTCACATTCACACAATAAC